GCACAGGAAAGTCTTTTATGTCAAAAAACCGTTTTTTACACTAGTAACGTAACGAAGAGTGAGTTCACAGAACCTATTCCTTTTGTCTACTATGCACCATATTTACCTTTGTCAGGTATCTCAGGCCGGAAATGATTACAAAGCGATTGTACTTATCTGACATAGGAGTGGTGGTTACATACTCTCTTTGAAGGATATATATGCTCGATATAAACTGGCATTACATATAGGTAACATTACCGTCCCTGAGCAGGCTTGATGAATTCATGTAACAGTAAGTGATCTAGCTGCGCACGGAGAATCTTGGTGTATAGAGATATAGTAATTAGCTCGGTTTAGTGGATCGGTGAGCATTCATTCATTCAGTATATGGTAGTAATATGTAGTGCAGTCGGCATATAGAGTATTATACATGTATAGGTAGAGCAATAGATACGTTCTCAGGTAGGTGATTAATACTGTTATCATCTTATCGGTTGTTTTGATCTCTCTGTGTGCCTGCGTGGTCGCGTAGTGCTCACGAGATGATCGGTGGTGCGCAGGTGGTAATGATTATTATAGATGACTGTGATATAAATATGGTTATTCACTCATAGGGAATTACAGATACTAGTATTATATAGACGGTTACGCAAGTATATTAGATAGTATACATAGACTCGCTCGCTCTCGTGCTCGCTCGTGTATAGATAGTGGTGTGAGTGTGATGCTCGTGTGAAGTGATGTAGATATAGGTATGGGTCACAAAAGGAGGTAGGCTATATAGAGCTAGGGAACCTTGTTGAATCGCACACTACGTGTGTGGTCGGGTTGGTGCGGACGAAGCGCTCACGTATATATATGGTATATTAAAAGAATACTTATACTATAAGAGCGAGTATTGCACGCACTCGAGAGAGATATGTCGAACGTTTTTATCTATATTGTAACTCAGAATTGTGGTTATCATATAACGTAGTACAGTTTGTGTAGTGATAGTTGGATGATCTGTTCACTTATATCGATCAACATTATACTAGCTGAGATATAATTTATAGCTATTGATATGAATATGTAGACAGGATACATATCTCGGCAGCGCTGTGTGTACTGGGTGCTTATATAGAGATGGATATGCTGACATACTGGAACAAGTAACGCGAGACGTTGTGTGAAGAAGCGCGAACAATTAGTGAAAAAAGCATGTGATGCGCTCGGAGGTATAAGATAAATACATTAGAGATTCGTATTGTACAATCATGTATTACAGTGTTGTGACGGTGTAAACGTATCGACCGCTCACATTATGTGATGTATAGAGAGAGATAATGTCTAGTGTTTTTCTTGAGTCTTGGATAATAGATAGAATAGTAGATGGTTATGCCATATCGATTGTTGTGTCTACTTTGTGTGTGCGGGATTATTATTATGTGTAGCGATAATAGATATGGGAAATGTTTGAATCTACGAGGAGGCACGCCACGCGCACATGTATATATCTTGTATTGTGTCTTACACGTGAGACAATAAGAGGCACGCACACATCTATTATTTGTTACAGTAACGAGACAATAAGAAAAC